TGAAAATCCTTCGGATTCTTGATCTTAGGAATTAAACTCTTCAGTTCTTCAATCTCGGGCTCCCTAAAACTAAAACTTCGAGTGTTTCTCCTTCCAAATTCCATAATAATAGTACCTGAGATGTCTGCAAGAATCATTCTTAAGTTCCTTAAAAAACAAGTTTTTTACAAAAAATGTTTATGGATGTATGGATGAATGATAATGCAACAGTTACACACAAGTTGATAAACATGGGGTTCAAAGGTTCAACGTTTCAGCATGGAGTCAAAGGTAAAGCCCACCCCAAGGTATGTACTATGGTTCAATCACACCTGTAAGACAAGGTTCTAAAAGTTCCCAGAGTCTACATTCCTCCTTCGGATATTACCAACGTCTTGATTACTCAATAATTAGCAATATTCTCAAGAGAAACTCATCCGAGTGTAGCATCGCGTAACAACTACTTCTGAATTACTCCGTTATAGTCTCCGCGCTACACCTAAAAAGGCCAAGATGGGTTAGGGTTCTACGGTCCTCAATTTCTCTGGCTCCCAGGTCGAAAATAATAATGGCTTCCCGATTACTCGGTAAACAAATATTATGTTCAAAAGGGCCTTCCATTGAGTGGGGGATCTCATGCCTCCTTCTTCGGGATTACTCCCTCAAAGTTAACATGACTTTACCGCCCGTCCTATTCTTAAGTGTAACTTAATCCGGGTATAGGATTCGTCCTTTGCCAAAAAAACCCAAACAACCCCAATTTAAATACATAATCAAACAAATCAAATAATAATAAAATAGATAAAACAAACTAGGCTTAACCCACTTAGGGATGGACCAGCAAGAGGTCAATCTCTCCCCAGCAGAGTCGCCAATTCTGTAGCGATAAAAAATGTAGCGGGGTAAATCGGAGATCGAATTATTAATTAATTCGTCTCACAAAAGCAAGAGTCGCCACCGCGCTTTATTATTTCCAAGGGAAAAAGGGAAAGAGCGAAATAAAACCCTAAAATATGCAATGTAAAATAATACTTTCTAAAAGTAATAAAAATAAAAGGCGTTTTGAAAAGAGGTCTATGGTTCGGGGGTTGGTTATACAGTGGGAAGGTATTAGCACCCAATGTATCTATAGTACTCTATAGGAACCTTTTGAAATATCTGTTTATTAAAATGTTCATTTGATTAAAATAAATTGTTTTGGCCGAAAAGGTGTACGGACGGGTTTTTGAAGGTACGACGACCTAATGTCGAAGTTTTGACTTAAAAGGTATGAATTTTGAAAAGATTGAATATTTGGGGAAAAATTATCTTAAGTTTTAATGAAATGAAGATATTCGCGTGATTGGACTTGAGGACATGAAGTCAACAAGTTTAATCATTTTTTCTCTTGGATTTAGACGTAAATAGAATAATCAAATAAAGACTGAATAATCAAACAAACAATTTAAGTAGCTAAGTGATCTACAACCATAACAATGACTAAATAAACAGACTAGATGGCGTGAACATGCATTTTTATAATTTTGTTTAATATGTACAAAACAAGAGAATTAATTAAAGAAAAATAAAATGTTTTAATTCTTAAATTTCTATTTTTTATATATTTTTGTATTAATATAAAGTATTATTTTAAGAATTATTAAATAATTTTAAACTAAATTAAAACTTTAAAAGTTACTAACTTAAATCTAATTAAAAAAAGGAATACTAAAATTACTAAATTAATCCTAAAGTTAAACTTAATAAAAATTGGTCACATTATTTAAAATTTGTTTAATTAAATTACCTCTATTTGATTAAGTTTTATAATTAAACTAAATTAATAAAATTAAAAAAAAACTAAAAGAAAATAAATAGAAAGAGGGGTATTAAAAAAAATAAAGGGGTAGATAAACATTTGTATGGGCCAAAGGGTTTTTAAGGGGCCTAATCAAAACAAACAGAAATGGGGGGTGTTATAATGGAAATCGTTGGGCTTTTAGGCAGGGAAACAGGTTAAGCCCGCACGTTTCATAATTTGTTTAAGGGTTAAACATATTTGTTTAATTGAGTTAGGGTTAGCAGAGGGTACAGCGCCGTTCGTTTGTTCACGCGTTCTTGATTCGTCTTCTTCGTAGCTCTCATGCCCTCGCCTCTGAGTTCCTTTGCCCATGGCCACCAGCATCTTCAAACCTCCTCTTCCCTCCAACGAGAATGCTAGGGCGACAGATTCAAGGTAAACTTCGTTTTGAATCTCAAAATGGTTTTATTATGATTTTGCATGCGGTGATTTTTACATCCATTTTTTATTCTGACTTCCTATTATTATGGTTATTTGAGGTATATGACAGAAAAAGAGGGAGAAATGTTACCTTTGGAGACGGAGGAGGAAGGGGTTGAGAAAAGCTATGGCGGCCAAAGCGGTGAGGGATGGCGCTTGATGCTGGGCTCGCTCCGGTTTGTCTAGTATCTCGCCTTTGACTTTTATGTTTGGATGATGATTTCCTGAAAAAAAACAAAACTTTATCTTCTTCTTCTTGGTAGCCTTTGTATGCTTCTTTTCCTTCTTCTTTCTGTGGGCTTGCTGAGTTGTCTTGATGAACGCCCTGATTTTCTTTGTCTTTGTCGCCTTGAGTTGCCTTGTGTTGGTTGATGTGTGATTTGAATCTGAGGGTTTAACGATGATTTTGCGCCCAGTGATGATATTTTCTGAGGGCTTGTGATATTTTTCTTTGCTTGACAATGTTGATGCTTTGAAATGGTAGGCTTTTTCTTGTTTAGGCCGTTTGGCTTGAAGGCTTTGGTTGGATTGATAGTGGTTTAAGGTTTCACAGTTTATGCTGGTTTTTCTTCAGGTTTGGCCTGGTTTTTTTTTGTTTCAGCAGGTTTGGCCTTTGATGAGTTTACTGGTTAGGCTTTGAAATGGTTATGGTTTTGCTGTCTTGAATGCAGGTAGTGTTTACTGGTTTTTTCAGGCCATGGTTATATGATATTTGGCTTGACAGGTTTAAAGTGTTTGGTGATGGCTTTATTGGTTTATCGGTTAAGCTTGAAAACAGGTTGAACAGGTTTTATGGTTTTAGGCCATACGGGTTGTGTTGGGATAATTTTCTGGTTTATGCTATGTGTTTATGGTTTTGGTCATGGTTTTGACATGGTTTTGGCTGTCTTGAATGCAGGTTGTATGTATGTTTTGGTTTATGTTGCAGTTTGAGTTATTTGAGGTCAGTTTTGGTTTTAGGCTTCCAACCGGTTATGAACTCTCTACTTTTTTGAAGGGTTTGTTGTTGTTATAATAGTTGGTTGGCCTTGAGGTTTATGTTACAGGTTATGTATATTTTTAACTATTTTGTCTTTGGATACCTCTGCACACTACTGTTCCATTCAGTTTGCCTATATCCTTTTCTATACTTCCTTTTTTTACTGTATTATTGCAGTTTTGTTTTCTATCCCTTTTCTGCCTAAGGCCAAAACCTGTAAACCCACACCCTTTCTCTCTTCTCTCTCCTTAGTACAGTTGAAACATTAAAATGTTGTATGTACTTTAAGTTCTGAAAAAGCAAAGCTGGAAAATGATGAAATTAGGAACATTTCTTGCATATTTGGTTTTAATCTGTACATGTTTCTCTTTGCCATCTGCATTGTACAGTATGGAGCCTTGTGTTTTTGACCTCTTCCCATACATTGGGTAGTTTACGTTGGACTTTTGTGTTGAAAATGTAACTTTGACTATGCAATGCGCAATTTGTTCTGAAATATGCAGTTTTGATAAAAATTGGATTTGTGCAATTGGTTTTGAAATATGCAGTTGGCTTTTGAAATGTTGAATTTGTGCATATTTTTAACTTGTGCATTCATATTTATCAATAAATAAACATCCCTTTTTGTGAACCGGGAGAAATCCCGTGATTTGCAAAGAGGGTAAAAAAATTGATTCCAGCCGTTTGCTTTTAATGATGAACGCTAAATTAATCGTCTGCTTTTAATTATCTATTTATTTCTGACTTTTCTTTTAATTCTTTGCAGGTAAAATCAAATGAGCATCAAAGAAGTATTGGACAGAAGATGAAGATTTAGAACTTAGAAAAAAATTATGATAGCTTTTATTTCACTTTAAACATTGTAAAAATTATCATTGTAAATACGTTGTAAATAAATACGGTATTTAAACAACAATTGTAACAATTAGAATAAAATGAATAAAACTCCAATATTTTACCAGTTAATTCTTTTCTTCTTTGCAATTATTTACCTTATCATTTATAATTCTTTAAATTATATAATAACTGAAAATAAATTCCAATTATTTAAATTCAGAATAATAAATAATTAAATAAACATCATTGATCAATTAACTTCTCTTCAATTATTTACTTCATTATTTATAATTCTTCTAAATTATAATAACTGAAAATAAATTCCAATTATTCAAATTCAGAATAATAAATAATTAAATAAACATCATTGATCAATTAACAAACTTCTTTTCAAATATTTACTTTATTATTTATAATTCTTTAATTCATATAATAACTGAAAATAAATTCCAATTATTTAAATTCAAAATAATAAATAATTAAATAAACATTGTTTTAGCATTGATCAATTAATAAATTTAGCGTTTCAAAAATAAACAGCTCTTGACTTGAAAAAGTTATGAATTTAAAATCTGCTTTGAAAATTGATAAAAATAGGTCAAAACACTTGTAATGTAATGATGCAGATGGGAGATGGTATCTTAGGTCAAAATTTGGGGTAAAACAGTATCCCCTTATTCTCATCTCCCTCCTCTTGCTCATGATCGTATAGGTCTATAGGTGATATCCTTATATGAACATTCTTACTCAGCAAGGGTATTCAGGGATTCTCTAAAGGAATGATCTTCTTTGTCCGACTCATTAGAAGCCTTTTATAAAATTTTGGAAAATATGTGACTAGTAATGAGGTCCTAATGCCCCTCCTATTTTAACCGAGGAGAAGACACAAAGAAAAACAGCAGAGGATGGAGTGCACTAAAGGTTTTATCCAACTTTTCATGAAGACTAATAGTTGTGAGCCCAATGATCTTGAAGTAGCGCCATACTAGGACATTCGAGGTCGGCAAAATGTAGCGATGGATAGCTAGGATGATGTAGAGGTGATGGGACCGTATCTTCTCTGAATACTAAGGCAACAATAAAGGCTGATGAGATCTTGGTTGATGACCCATTGGAATAGTCGCCTCTTCCATAGATCCCAGAGAAGAGGATATGTAGTTCCTTTGATGATTGTAGATATTTTTCTTTGACTTCAAAGTGGTTGTCTTGAAACACTTGAAAGTTGCTCCTTCTCATCTTCATCTGAGGTTCTGGCCCTACATGAGGGTATTCTAGTTGTGTGTTGAGTGTAAATCTTAGAAACCTTTCCTTGGGTTGTTCCTTAATTTGATCCACCTAAAACACTCTTCTACGTACAACCTACATGACCAATGGCTCATTAGTTTGTATATTGTACTATCCTTGTTTTGACTTCTTCACCAAGATCTAGAGTTATTTTCTGGGGCAATTTTTGCTAGTGAAGCCCCTTACGCCAGAGGCCCATCTCACTTTATACTACTCTCCTACCGAGTCTTCTCTCTTTTTTAGATGTTCATATCTGAAGTACTGGTCTTCATCTCACTTCACCTGGGATGTCCATTCCTATCGTACTAGGTTGGATCCGATCCTTGATGAGGCGGTGATAAAGGAATACATGTTGTGAGTATAACTTCGTCATTAGATGTTTTGCAATATGTCAAAACATGGAAAAGATAACACATATGTACATTGGATGATATCTCTATGTCTTATGGAATTCCTCTGCATTAGAGGTCTTAGAAATCATTAAAAAGAATTTTCAAATTGTTCAAAGTCATTAAAAACAAGTTTGTGCATAAATTTTCATTGCATGTGTCGACACATACAATTTTAAGATCGAAACATGCAACTCAGTTTTGAGGCCTGTAGCCTATGGAAGGCTCAGGTAAACACATGCATTGCATAGGTCAACACATACAAAAACATTTCTGAAATTGTAGAAATTCTTATTTTATGTATCGACACATATGAATTTCAGGTCGACACATTTATTTTTATTTTAAAGCGTGTAGCCTCTTACTTGTTTTGGTTGACACATACCTTCCTTTAGGTTGACACATAAAACTTAAACTTAACGTATGTGTCGACACATACGATTTATAGGTCGACACATACTGATTTTTTTGTTCAATTTTTTTAAAATCTTTTTAATTCCAAATTTACCCTAAATTTCTAAAACTATAAATACATCATTCATAACTTGATGATACCATAAAATTACCCTACATTTGATCTTCATCTTCAACCTACAATCTATGCATACACACTGACATTCAATTGTAACAATATTCTGTTGGGGTTCAATCTAAACGAGGTTTGATAACATCCAGTTAGGTTCTTGTGTAGCCGAGAATATTGGGTGAGATTTGTTGGGGTCTTATTCTGGAAAAAACGCAGGTTTGTCCTCCAAGATCATTGATTGATTTGAGGATTTTTGTGCAAGACATTCAAGAGGTAATTGCAGCCAAGTGAAATCCTTTGGAGATAAAGAATGAAAGGGATACTTTTGAGATAAATAACGCAAGGGAAGTAGCGAGAGAAATATGAATTACAATTGAATTCTTGTGTTGCATTAGGTACAATTTGATCGTTCGAACGCAAAAGCTTTGGAGATAAAGAATGCAAAAGAGTAGCTATATTGACAACTCATTTGGGATCTATTGTGTCTTGGTATTTCTTAAGATCAAAATAGGAGAAGGGGTTGAATCAACAACAATAATTTGGTTGGTGGATTTGTTCTTGAACACTTCTATTGTATAAACTTTTTTTCATAGTAAGAATTACCCAAATTTCATTGGAATTAGGCGCAGACGTACCCACACACGAGGATGAAAGTAAGGAACTATGAATACAGATCCTTGTGTCACTTTTCTTTTTGCTTTTACTTGCTTTAAATTTCATCAATCAATTTTTCTAATAGCATTGCGTTATCAACTAAATTGCAAGAAATTAAAGAATAAAATTGCATGAAACTTGAGGTTATCAAAAGTGAACAATGATTTTCTAGTGGGTATTAAAGAGAGTCAGAGGTTACTGGTAAAACTTGTGGATCTTATGGTTGATGGAAATTGAGATGAGGATAATGACTTTAAGGTAGACAATCAGAGTAGCGCAACTGAAGCATGATGTGGTGCAGTTCGTTATGCGGGTGTGACTTGTTATGAGTTAAGGGTTAAACATCAAAAGCTTACGAGAATGATACAAACCATTGGGTAATCCAGAATGGAAGTGATAAGTGAGAGGTTTATATATTATTCGAGTCACCTCCATGTCAATAGATGTATCGAGTTACATGTTCAATTGATAAATTGTAGCATTGTTGTACTAATGTTGTGTGCCAATGTTGACAATGTTATGGTTATGTTGATGTTCTTATGAAGGTGTTGATGTGTGATGAAATGATAGAGACGATGTTCTTGTCCTGAAACTCTATGTTCTTAAATTATGTTATTACCTCGTTGTCGGGGGTTGGAGTTCGAGTAGCTCATGTTCAAGAGTGAACAAGATCCTAGGATGATGAGACAAGGAGTGAATGAACCTATGCGTTCATAACTCGGTAGCATTGCATCTTGTTAGATTATTATGGTTAACAATGTGGAGTGTTGGTTAGTGATGATCGAAATGTTGCCAAACATGATGCGGGAGTTGGAGAGGAAGATGCGAGAGTCGTATCAAGAGTTGTATACATCAAGTAAATTTTCGAGGACGAAATTTATTTAAGTGGGGGAGAGTTGTAACACCCCAACAATCATAGTCAATTATTTAATTAGTTATTTGTGATTATTTTGGAATTATTATGATTTATATGATGCATCACGGTGTTTGGTGATGGTATATTGTGGGATAGTGTTGGAATAATAATATATGAGGAGTATTTGACTAGTTTATAATTATTTAGAAATTAAATAATTATTTGGGATTTATTGGATTTAATAATGATGTTTAGAATTATTATTATAAAGGAAATTATGGTGTAGAAACAAGAAAGGATAAATGGTAAAGTAACGTGGAATAAGTGAGGACATGATGGGTAGTCCAATATTATGGGTCCAAAGGTTAAATTTGGTATAAGGAAGGTTCGAGAATTTTGATCGCTCATTCTGTATGATAGTTTTTGGGAGAAAGAGGCAGAGGAAAAGCTATGGCACAAAGAGGAAAGAAGGAGCATATGAGTTTCGGTAGAGCACGAAGAAGATTCGATTGCTAGCAACAATTTCTAAGGTAAGGGGTTTAATCGCGTTTATTATAATTGATATCGGGTTAAAGTGTTGGTAGGTTGTGTTTTGTGTGTTGATTTTGATGAGAATTGATGAAATTTTGGAAAAACCCATGTGTTGAATGAATCCTTGATAAATGTGTGATGTTAAGACCTTTAAAAAAGTGTTATAGGATGTTAAGAATATTGTATAATCATAGGATTTCGAATTCTGAAACCGAGACTTTTTACGGAATCGAATTCGGATGTCTGGAAGGCCTCCAACCATGGAAAATTGCAGGGAGGAGAAGTGTTGTCTAGTTAGCATCGTCAGGCGATGTAGAGGCAACACAAAGGTGACTCAAGCATCGCCAGGAGACAAAAGGCTGCGCCCGGTGACGTATGGCAGAAGCGATGCAGCAGAAATCTTCAAAATATCGTAATTTGAGTTTCATGAGTCCGTTTAACAGGCCGTTCGAAGCACTGGAGAGCTAACATGACGTACTATATTATGATTGAATTACATGAGTGTTTTGAGTCCTGATTTCAATATCTATATGTTTGTGATATTGATTTATTACATGTTTCTATATCATGATGTGTTATTTTAATGATAAACATGATGTTGATTATGATGTTTTACAATGCTTATTTATTAATGATGTTGTTGTGACATAAATGATGTGAATAATGATGAAAATTTAGTGATATGCGTGTGCAAATATAATACATTTTATTGTGATGATTTTAGGATGGTTTTGGTGATATGTTGTATTGTGACGAACTCGTATTTAAATTGATGAAAATACTATGTTGAATTGCCATGAGGTTGTGTATATAATGTTTATAATATTGTGTAGTTGTTGTATAGTAATTCTATGTTGAAAACTCTAAGGATTGAAACTTTTTTGGTGTAAGATCGCAAGAGCATTTGAGACTGAACAAGTGCAGAATCTCGATAGGTAATTATTTTTAGTGTGCATCGTCGGGCGATAAAGGAGGCGTCACCGGGAAATGGAACTTTTCTAGGCCTCCGCCAAGAAAAAGTAGGAGGCGATGGAAGGCACATAAAACAATGGCTACTTGAGTGTTTCACTCGCACCTTCGTTGGTCGATGTAGGAGTGAAAGGAGTTTCGTCCGGCGATCAAGAGTCTTCGTCGGGCGATGGTATCTAGAATTGAGACGTTGAGTTAGACTTTTTTAGAAGAGTCGTAACTTGAGTTTTAGAACTCGGTTTGAGGTGTCATTTGAAGCGTTGGATAGCTAACACGATAAACTTTATTTAGGGGTAGTAAAATGAAGAATAGGAAGTATATCCCCAATATCTAGATTAGAATGAAGTTAGGTTCCCCGTGTTGGATTATGATAATGATGGTTTATAAAAGACGGTTAGAAGGTAATAATGATGACACCTTATATAATATGAGGACATGATGATGAGTTGTATGTTATGATGATTCTTGGATACTATGATGATTAGTTGATGATAATTTTTTTGTGATGATGATATGATTGTTATTGATGGAGATATGATGTCATGATGATATGATGATAATGATGTTGTGATGAGGATATAATTGTTTTTTATGGAGATATGATGGTATCATGATAATGATGTTATGATGATGATATGATTATTTTTATGATGCTATTGTGAAATTGATGTTGATGGCCTAAATTTGCATAGTGTTTAAGGCTTATGCCTTGCGGTTGTATAATTGTGTTGTTGCATGTTGATGTTGCATGCATTCATTGGTGAGGGCTTATGCTCTGTTGTTGGCCTGGAATGGCATTGTGTTGAGGGCTTATGCTCTAGTGTTGCCCAATTGGCACTATGTTAGGGGCTTATGTCCTGTTGGTACCACATGCATTTAGTTGTTGTCGGTTGCATTGCACTGCCTTGATTTGATGTCGTGTTGTATGAATGAAGAATGTGTTTTCGATGATTTATGATGAAGATGAGCATATGTTATTATAATACAAAGGTGTAAGTATAATACTTGGTAAATGATGATGTACATA